TTCTGGATGCTAACATACATTCCTAAGGCTGCTCTCGTTGCTCTTCGGCTAAGAAGTGAATAATACCCAAATGCTTCTAGGTATGTCCTCGAGCCACACTCATCACTGTCCTGTGTGGGAGCCAGATCCACAAACGAACTTTGGCATAGCAACGCTTGGCATTGCTGCATCTTTTAGGCCCCTGCCCTGGAAACCACAGCCCTGCTTTAAGTACCCAGGTTCCCTGCACAGTGCATGGGGGCAGCTGGGCACCGCAGAATGAGATTCATCACAGGCAGCAATTTACTGGAGGAAGAAGAGCAGGGAAATTCCTAAGCCAGTCAATAGGAGATACTGATAAAAGGAGTATGTCTGAAAGCCCACCCCTCTCTGGGATTTTTAGGTACCTTCCTGCAGTACTGGGTTGGATGCCCACATAAGACCAAGGTCCATTGACCAAATTCCCCTCCAATACTTAGGCACTTACAAGCAAGGGCAAGGCTGGTGCTCCCCATCTTTCATATAACAAGCTAGTGAGTGGAGCACTCACCCGGGGATGGGGGTTCAGACTCACTTCTCTGACCTCCCAGGAAGGTGCCCCAACCACCAGACTAGGGGGGTCAAGTCTGGGGTAGAGGCCCAGGTCACTCTTTCTGAAGCTGTACCGCTGAGCAGGAAAAAACACAGGATTCATGGGCACACAGAGAGAGAAAGAAAGAGAATGCAATGCTGAGCATGGCTCTAGCCCAAGGATGAAAAGGGCATCTTGGAGTCCAATCCCACAAGACTGTTTATATATTTTATCCATTGCCCATGGACTGGTAAATAGAGAAGCAGGCAGATGAGGAAAAGCCATGAAACTAGAGCCAGCAGGACCTAAGTCCTACTTGAGGTGCTCGAGTTCTCTCATGCATCAAGGCTTGAGCATCTTCCAGTCGTGAGTTGAGCAACGTGATCACCCTGTTGCCCCGTGTTTGTTCGCTCAGTCTCTCCTCGCAGGAGAAGCATGTGGCATGGAGCATCTTGCGTAGGTAGTGCTTTAGGGTGTTATCAAAACATACAGACAGCTACCTCGTCACCGAGAGCATGGGAGAGACATCCAAACAGCGTTTCTCCAGAAGGAGGACACAGCAATGCAGGCCTTTGAAAAAGGATGAATGCAAGCAACAAGGAGGAGTTCTCATGGCCCCTCAAGCCACACGCAGGGAAAGCCGAGGGGTAAAAAAAGAGACAAACTAAGAAAGCAGCAGAGTGTAAGGAAGTAGAGTAGCCTGGTCCTAACGGGGATAGTTGCAAGGGCCAGGAGCTCTTATTCAAAAGTCCTGCCAAAAAGCAGCACGACATCACTAATCAATCCCAGGGAGCTTCCAAATTGGCTGATTTATACTCTTCCATCTGGGAGAGCTTCGATGGAAAATGGCCAGTGACAGTCATTACAATTCAGTCTTGGAAGAGGCATGTAGAGCAAGGGGCAGGCAGGTGTCTTCTACCTGCCATACCAGGCTTTACAAGCTCTGTTTGCTCTCCTTGCCATTAGATGTGGTTTTACCCATGACTGTTGTAGGGCCTTGGACTGTAAGTCCCTGACGAAGCAAAACCGTGCTTCTCTAAAGTATGACATGCAAAGAGTTCTCACGCTATGTAGGAGCTGTCACAAAAAGGGATCTATTTGCTGATGAATGCTATTATTTGGATATCTGGTCTACCTTGCATGCTTAATAGGAGAAGGCTTTTCTAGCACTATGTTAAATAAATAACTGACCAAACTAGCCTGCTTTTTTAGGCAGGATAAGTGCTTAGCTAAGCTTGTTATAACTAATTGGCTGTTTTGCAAACTGTCTACTAAGGGTTTTTTTCCCCCTCTAAACTAAATTATATGAATTGTGCATATCTTGTATTTTCCTGTTTTCTCGCTTAAGAAAGCCAGCGAGTTATCAGTAAGAATTATTTATATGCCTGGCTTTGTGGTATTTCTGGGATATTTTTCCTTTTACGATAAGCACAAGTGAATGAGATGATGCAATAGGAGTAGAAGTTGTAAACAAGTTTGTCATGAAAAGGATTTTGCTGACCTTGCTGCATTTTGAAGAGCTTCAGCATGGATAATATAGGCCTGATGTCATTGACTGCTTGTAGTCTTTGATAGTCCTAAATAATAAATTAGCTGATATGTGCTGGAGTGGTCTTGTGAGATATTATTAGTACATTAATTAATTGTTAGCTAGTCCATCCCATGATGGTTGCTCTATGTTATCCACAATTACATTGCATCAGACTGCCACAGGCTCTCCTTGGGAATGAGGGTGAGAAGGTTGACCGTATTTGTTTCATTACAGAAACGTGTGTCAGTAGATGCCAAAGTTGACTATTAGGGGAACATTTAAAATGTGTCACAGACATTTCTCAGTCATACTTTGTATTGGGGAATTCATTTACAAACCGTTAGTAAAAGACCAGTTGAGGTTATAACAGTGTGACAGAAAGGGGTTGGATGTGTTATAGATGGGTCTCGGTACATCAGTGTTACAGGTGGTCCTTAGCAGCCTGTGACAGCTTGGACTCTGCAGTAGCCTATAGCAATTGCTTAGCCAGTCATCAAAGGATCAACTGATCATTGATTCATTCTTTCTAACCATACAAAAATTGAATCTGACTGTGAACAATAACTAGGTCGACCATGTAGGCCAGGGACAGAAGTTACACATAAACTGGTTTAAGTGATCGGAAACTGAGTTAAACCTGTAACAGAACAGAAGTTCAGCTTTCGAAATGGCCCAAACTGGCTTAGGATAAACCTGGTTGAATGTAGTATCAGACTTAACTGATTTAGGTCAAACCAGTTTATAGAACTCTGTCCCAGACCTCTTCCTGGTTCAAGTTAACTCACAGTCCCCCAGCATCCCAGCATGCTTTGCAGCCCTGGGCTATGCTGTCTGCTCTAGTGGAGTAGGGACTGCCTCACCTTTCTCCTCCCTAGCCTGCTTCCTGCCTGAGTCCATCAGCCCAGTGGGATGGAGGGGGGTGGGCACAGACCCCCAGACCCCCTTATCCAGGGCCTACACAGTCCAACGGGAGAGGGAAAACCCCCGTGGTGCGGGCTTTTTGACCCTCAGCAGCCCTCCCCTCTTCCCCCTTCCCAGCTCCTGATTGCTCCAGCTTCTCCCCCAGGAGGGAGGGAGAAGTCCTCCTGGTTGGGTGCCTGCCCATGCAGCCCAGCAAGGGTGCACCATGGAGCCCCTGCCTTGTGGGGCTTCCCATCACCCCAGCCCAGGGTCTCCCCAGCCCCAGGCAGCCCCAGGGAGTGGAGGGGAGTTCTGCCTCTCCCAAACCCCACAGCTGCTTGCCTTATCTCCTGCGAGTCTCAGGGGCAGACCTGGGAAGCCCCAGGGAGTGGAGGGAAAAGGGAAATCATCCTGCTCCTCTGCAGCCAGTTTTGCCTGAGCTGCTGTGAGTCTGAGGCAAAACTTTTTGCAGAGGAGCAGAAGAATTGCCCTCTTCTCCCTGGGGCTACCCCTGTGCCTTGCAGCAAATAAGGTAAGCAGGTCTGGGATGTGGGAGGGGAAGATTGCCCTCAGCTCCCTGGGGCTGCCCGGGGATGGGGGAACCTGGACTGGGCTGGGGGGAAGCCCCCAAAGGCAGGGGCTCCCCACTGCCTCCATGATATGCTGCATGGGCGGGCACCCGGCTGGGAGGACTCCTCCCTCCTCCCTCTGGGTTGCTCCCCAGGGCTGCCTGGGCTGGGGGACCAGGCAGGTAGCTTCTAAACCCCCTGTTGGGGGGGAAAAGGGGTGGGATTGGGGGGCATGTACTGGGGAGACAATCCAGGATACTTGGCTGGGCTGGGAGACGTCCTCTAATGTCCAGCGCCTACTGGCTTGGGTCAGTGCAGACCTCCCCCTGCCTTTCCCAATTGAAAATTGGTTATCAGTTCAACCTATGCAGTTTAGAGGATGCTGCCTAGATTGAATCGACTCAGCCTCAGGCTTTTTGACTGTCTGTACTTAGCCATGATGGAAATCCTGGAAATCTGGGACATCACCTGGGAAACCTGGGATGCTACAACCCTCCCCACCCAGGCGCTCTCACAAGTTGGCAGGGGCAGATTTGCGTGCCTGCAAGGTGCTCTGCACTGCTCCAACTCCTGATCAGACTGCACCCCATGCCCTTGCTTTTCCAGGACACCCATTATAATGCTCAACAGCCAGCTGGTACCAGCTTCTGAAACCTGGGACTGTCCCTGATAAACCAGGACATATGGTCACCCGACCTATAACCCATTTTTTGGTTGACTTCAGCATCTCTCCCTCATCCCCGCTCGCTTTGCAATAAGTTATTTTCATGTTGGGATTGCCAAAAGGGTGGAAAATACTCTAGGAATGGGAAAACACATCCCCTTTCCCAAACAGTCAAGCCCATTTCAACTAATGTTGGTTCAGACTGAATCAAGGGAACTTAAGAAGTTCATCCTTCAGTTGTTAACCTTAAAAAATAATCATATAATAGACACTGTTATTTTCAAAGTGCCCCTTTTATCAGAAAAAAAATCAGGGAAAAACCAATAACAACTCCTGGAGCACTGTTTTCCTTATGGTTGGAATAGATGGCACGAGAGAGGGGTTCTCTGTTATCCCACGCCAGAAAACCAGACACCACCCAAACAGCGTCTTAGTGAGACAATGCCATTTCTTTGGAGAGAGTTCTCTTTTCCTATGTAGCTATTCAATGACATAGAAATTTCCAGTCTGGGGTTCAGGGGTCCAACCCCTGCTGCTGAAATGTTGCCCCCCTCTACTGACCCCAGAGTTGAAGAGAAACAGTGATGATATCAATAACTGTCACATACTCTGAAGTGTCAAACCACTTCCTACCTACTACAGCAAAACTCTGTCTCGCAGAGCCTTAAGCATGATTTCCTGGATGAAAGTTAGTAATACCTGAACAGAGAGCAGCTTTATTCTCTCAGGCAGATCTAGCCAGCAAAACAATGATTTGCTGACCAGAGAGAAATGTCCTAGCTGAACCTTCAAAACACGTTCTTATTATGCTCTAATAAAGGGAGACATCACTGATTCACCAGGCAAAAAGCCTGTTACTCTTTGAAAACCCTCCTCCTCACCCTCGGTGCTACGGAGAAAAGACTTGAACAAGTTACATGGAGCGTGCTTTCCTTTTGATGTGGGTCATAATCGGTTCCATAGCGGGGACTGGAAGTGGAGCAGGTAAGAGACCATTGCTACTTTTGCTATTGCTTGGTCGGTCACGGGTGACTGACTTTCTCGCCACCTGATGATAGGGAAAAAGCAAATAGTTCGAGAACCTGCTATTCTAAGGAGGTGAATAGAAAGAGCAGGGGTGCCCACAAACCAACAGCTGGAGATGGTCCAGAGCAGGTGAAATCTTTTGAGTAATGTACAGCTCCTCTAACCCATCGCTGGAACAGTAGGCAGATCAAAGGAATACTTGGCACACATCTAGCTTTAAAAGCTCTTAGGAAATTTTTTTCCATTTCACACGAGACTTTAGGAAAGCTACACATAGACATCGAAATGCCAATATCTCTGCAAGAGAATTTGATGGACCTGTTATTAGTGAACCGGTATAATCCAGGTTTGCTACAGATGCCATTAATACAACATGCGCTCCTTCACTCCAGCATTTCTACCCATTCATTGTGGGATGAATCTTTCAGCAGCTGATGTAAGTTTACAATGGGATTTCTAATGAGGGCAGGTGCATTAAGAAATTGGCTGAATGTGAGGAATAGGTTGGAAATAAAATCCTATGTTTGAGTTTGAACTGGGTTGAATGCAAAAGTGCCTGTTAGGTCAATGCATGCAATATTTCCTTCCAGGGGTCTGACAGACTCCAAAAGCCAGAGGTAGGAGCAAAGATGATCATATAGACTAGGACCTAGGGAAGCAACCTCAGATGAAATGGAGACATGGCTAAATGATCATGAAATTGTACTGGGACCACTGTGAGTGCATGGGATCACTTGCAATGAAACCAGCTGCTTCCCTAGTCAGCTGAGACAAAACCACTCCCTCTCGAGGTGACTGTACCCCCATAAAGAGACTTATGTTTTATTAAAAGAGACATCTTAATGGCAAAATGCAATGCCAGTGTTCCTGGCCTCTTTTTAAATGCTGTTTGAGACACCATCAATGTGCAATGTTCAG